ACTCAGAGTAGAGCCGCTGCTCCTCCACGTCGAGAGGAGCCAGTTGAGGTGGCTCGGGCATCTGGTAAGGATGCCTTCTGGATGCCTCCCTGGTGAGGTGTTCAGGGGAACGTCCCACCGGGAGGAGGCCCCGAGGAAGACCCAGGACACACTGGAGGGACTATGTCTCTCGGCTGGCCTGGGAACGCCTTGGAGTCCTCCCAGAACAGCTGGAAGAAGTGGCTGGGGAGAGGGAGGTCTGGGCCTCCCTTCCGAAGCTGCTGCCCCCGTGACCCGACCCCGGATAGGTGGAAGAAAATGGATGGATGAATAAGCTACAACAGTGATTATCAACTGGTGGTCCATGGGCCTTTTCTGGGCCTTTTCGGGAACCTTTACGGCCAGTGGAGGTGACATTATAAAACTAAAAAAAATATGTTGTGAACTTTATTATTTATTATTATTTTTATATTTCAAGACAATGCATATGTATATACAAGAAATTTCATAAAAAGTAGTACACCTGAACTCTTCAGGCACACATTTTTTTTCTAATTCTTATTATGATGTAATCTTAAAGGTGTTTAAAGATAACCCTGATGGATTTGAGAGAAAGGTCATAGAAAGAAGTTGAGCTAATCAACATGTTTTACTTTTTGTATTAGTAGTATTGATCACATATTTGTGTACAATTTGATTTCTGTGAGTATAAAAAAACTATCAAAAGTAATTGTTCCATTATGTTTGTCACRTTTTCAAAGAGCCAGTGCAGAGGGACCAAAGAGCCASATGTGGCCCCTGATTAAACTCACAGTGGTAGATAGGTGAGATAAGGCCTTTATGTGAAGAAGTTCTTCATGAATGATCTCCAACTCATTGGCTGTTCTTTCAGAGGGACTAGGAAACAGGAAAAAACGTTACAAACAAACACAATCATTRTGAATAATTTTGTTTTGGATCTTTGCTGCTTTAAAGCCGTACGGTTTCCTCAGAATCATCCTCATGAGTGCGTCCGGTCCAATCTGCGAGAGAAAGAGCAGAGTGTCCTGCAGCTCCTCCTGGCTCTCCCTCCTCTCCTCATCGTCACGGCCAGGAGCGTCCTCCTGCTCATCATCCAGGAAGCGATAGAAAAGATACTTGTCCTGGAAACTCATCTCTCCGTCCACTGAGTTACAACAGACAGCAGGACTCAGCGGGTTAAACTCCRGGGACTGGCTCACCTGTACACGTGCAGGTAGATGTGAGTGAGTCTCACCGTGGTTCAGAGCTCCTTCCTCCAGCAGCACCTGCCACACGCCCACAGCCTGAATACGAGAGTGGACCCAGGAGCTCTGCTGCATCAGCCAGTCAACCAACTCCGTCCCCACACAACACCGCCTGGGAAAGATTTACAAGACTTCTTATACAAGGCTGACAATCTGTGTAATGTCCTTATAGTCKCACTTTGGCTTTAACCTGTATGTCTTCAGATGGTACTTCCTGTCTCGGATCACGTGAGGCGCTCTGGAGAGGATGGCGTAACGGAGAATCTTTCCGGCACCAAGGATCTTCTCGGAAAGGACCTGCACGTAAAAATTTTATTTAATTGTCACAAAAACAATGTGACAGCATGCCAAACACAAAAGATGTTTGTGTTCATTACCTGAGATGTGCATTTAGGCTGAACTCTGGCTGGACTTTCAAGAAAAGACTTCTGAAATGGGGAAAAAAGAGGGAAAAGTTATCATGGACAACAACAAAACTCTGGTGATTCTGTTGATAACAAGCTCAGTTTTGATAGCATCAGGGCTGAAAATGATCATTTTGTCATAGAATCTTAAAGTGCCATGACAATGGAGGACTAAAATATTTAATAAATCCCGTTGGATATTTGCTGCTATTCAATTATGCTCCTTCAATGGCGGCACATCATTAATATATCAACTTCTAATTTTCTTCARTTTATTTATTTCTAAGCGTTTATTAAAGTTTTCATTAGACAATCTATTACATGACTGTATGACATCTATTTTTTCATTGTTTCTCTCTCCCACTGAGGCCACACGCTGCAGACTTTGACATTTAAATGCACTCTGCTTGCCTCAGAAAGCAGTGCARCTCATGCATTTATGTGATGGTTTTAAAGCCTCATCTTTTATTTACAAGAAATGAGTTCACTCAATCACAGTGGCTTTAAAAAAATGACTCATTTTAAATGTTAAAATAAACTAAAGCTCTGTTTGCTTGTTAGTTACATATCATAAAGGCTATAAAATCCTTTTTTTTCCATAACAGATTTATGTTATGACTAAACTCCACCATAAATCTGGTGCCTTATCAGCCAGGAAATGACCGCAGGACAAAGGTGGGACAGGAAGTGATGCGGATGGAGACAAAAACTCCAGGCACCATGTTTACACTGAAACTAAATTTAAACAAAAGTCATTCTTTGTCTGTTCTTATCCTCTTTTAGAGAACTTGAACAAAATAGGGTAAAATGTCAGAAAGGTGGCGTAATACGCAAGGCAAGCGAATTCATTGTCTTTATTTGGTTTATTACTTTGTTGTTTCTTTTTTGTTATTCTTATAATTTTGATAAGTTGTGTGATCTTAAAGATTRATTACCTTGTTTGGGTGTTTGGAGACTGAAACAAACACATTGTTGGTTATGTTTTCTTTTTCTGCCATTCCTGACAAACAAAAAGGAAAGAAATATTAAAGTAAAAAAGAGCTTACAGTAGGGAAAAAACAAGACAAAATGCAAACAATAAGTTGAACTAGACATGGGTTTTTATGATGTAAAAACAAGTGTGCATTGCCATGTAGCATGTCATTGCAGCATGGCTTTGCC